CCTTACAACCCTTATCACAATCCATACATTCATCCATTGTGTCAAGCACATTTGTACATATGTTGCTGTAAGTATTTTCTTTCTACTAGAGCCCTTGACGTAAGCTCCCCATACCCCCCCCCATGAACTCTTGATAAATCTTAAATAATTATTTTCATATCTTACATTGTCCGCCGTCTCCCTTCACCCACAGTTCTGCAGTGTGCCCCTGTGGGAAGGGGGGCAGTCTGCATTCTTATTGGGGCTTATTTTGGAATGGCTTCAGGAAGTCATTTCTTTGGACAAGAATCAGTTGCTTCTACAACCAGTAATCTCTGCCAGCAGTCCTTCTCCTGAGAGAACATTGTTCTAAAACGGCTGCACATTATCTTAAAGGAGGCTCCTCAACTACTTAAGGGTGATTAAAACACAGATGAAGTGTCTCAGACTTTTCTCCTAGTACAAGTAAGCCAGAACCCTGCAAGTAAAGAATGCAGGAAACCAAAACATTCTACAAGGTTATCGAAGATGAGGCTGAGCCACAAACAACAACAAGACAGATACATGGTTTAACTTGTATCTAAGCCCATCAATCTCCTTGGATGCCATGACTTGCGCTGAAGAATTAATCACGAAGAGGATGCTAAACAGAATCGATTCCTTCTAGTTCAGCTATAATGACTTAGAGGAATGTATTCTGAATGCAATCCCATTTAAGTTAGCATAGAGATCTACTTACATGAATAGTATTTATCTGGGACATCAGAGGGCCTCAATCGAGCCGCCGGTCCATAGACGACTTTAATATTTTTAACATTCCCCAAATATTTATTCAGATATATGTATTTCTTACAACTTCCTTGTTCCATACCTAGAGGAAAATAATCCCCAAAACATGTTACAACTTTAACTTAAAAATTTAACAGATAGAGCAGAATACTTCAACTTTCAAATATAAAGCACTAGCCTTGGGTCTAGCACTTGTGTCAGAGAGTGCCTATTAAGTCAGACACTGAATTCACCTAGATCCACAGCTCGATCTTTTTCAAGATGTGTTCCTTTTCTCTCACTTAAAAGTAATTTCCTGTTGCTTCTTGTTTATACGTTATAATGTATAATGAGTGAAGTGGAATGCATTATGAGAGTTTTAGACTAACGCAGCACCCCAAAGACTGAGTATTTCTCCCAAATCACCTAGAAAATTAACTAGGCGCTGGTGGTGTAGTGGTTATACATTGGACTGCTAACTGCAAGGTTAGCAGTTCAAAAGCAGCAGGCACCCCAAAGGAGAAAGCTGGCTTTCTACTTTCATACAGAGTTACGCTCTCAGAACTCAGGGGGCATTCTACGATGCCCTCTATGGTCGCTGGGAGTCAGGATCGACTCAGTGGCAGTGAGTTTGTGTTCCTCTCACTCCAGGAGTAGAGCTTCTTTGGACTACGACCTTTTTTAGGGATTCTTTCCCCTGGAAATAGCTATCAGTAATTATTTCTAAAGGAGACCCCAACAGCAAATAAACCAAATCAGAACCTGTTTTCTACTTTCTTCTATACACACAGCACAGAAGATCACAGTAAGTGAAAAACGGAAATGCAGTATCCTCAAAATTATTATGTCCTGCCGTTGGAGTCAGCGCTATCATTCAACAAGAGAGTGACGAGGTGCATATGGCCCTAAAATTACCAGAGGAGATCTATTAAAACTTAATATTGAAAATCGGTGAATTACCACCCAAACTACTGGTGTACGCCTTCCTCAGAGAAGAAGATAAGGTGCATTGTACTTGGTAAACTTGTCAGTAAATTGTTACATTGGCACTTTACAGTTTATCTAATTTTTCCTAGTGGCTCCGAAATAAATTTTTCTAGAGTGTAAATTGGTTTCATTTAAGGTCATAAATAAATTATGTTCAATATGATTCCTTTGTATCCCAAACCATGAACTACACCATTCAGAGGAGGAAATGAAACAATCATCAAGGAAACCTTTATCTTTTCGGTATACCAAAAGATACCACTTAGCCAGACAGATAAAGAACGTCAATCCCGATTACCATGATCCGAAATGAGAATGAGATTCAGGCATCTGTGTAAGTCCAGCTCCTTGAGGCCATCCATCAGCATGCCGACCATACTGTCAACCCTCTGCAATGCTCTGATGACCTGGGAAACGGAAGTAAGCTCGTGTGATGCTTTCCATACTAACGGCAATTTCTATGTAACGTTATCTGTTAAAAGAAACATACTTCAGTGGTGCAGCTACGACGGCGAACTTACATTGGGCTCAGCCAGGTCAGTTAAGACATAAGGGGCATGAGAGAACTGACGATCATTAAACGTGATTGGGGGCTTTATTGGTAGATGCCTTCAAGCCAGTTCCAACTCGCGGGATCCCTACATGCCACGGTAGTAAACACTGCTCCGCCCTGTGCTAGCTGCACAATTGTCCTGCTCGGGAGCATCGCTTCTGCCACCGAATCAATCCGTCTTGCTGAGAGTCCGCCTCTTCTCTGACTGCCCTTCAACTGTCCAAAGCATTCAGGTCCTTTTGGAATGACCCATGTCTGCCCCTGCGAAATCTTCACCCGCAGCATGGCCCGAGTTTGTCTGGTCAGCTCTCCCAGCTCCGAATGCTACTTCTTTCATCAGACTCAATTATGATAACTATTTTAAATGTTCACTGGGAAACGACACTGCTCTCTGATTTTCAAAAGTATTAAAATGCTCATGAAGTGCCTTTGCTGTTTCAATGTATTTAAGTTTTCAAGTTATGACTCCTATAAATACGATCAAAAGCCTCCTTACAAACGGCATGCAGTCCATACACAGTTATCGCAAGGGCAGAGAAAGCATATGGTTTGTCCAAGTGCTTTCTGGCACTTATGTTTTCCTCGCTCCATTCAAAACCACCTGGGCGGTTTTGCTTTAACATGCCAAACCTGTTTCATCTTCAGTCCCAGTCACGGGAGCACACTGAAATCGGAGACACGTTCTTTCATTATGGTCTCAAAGAAATCCAAGCAAATGAACTGGAATCTGTCTATGTCAAGACAAGCTGAGTGTTGATGTGCCAATAACCTGAGAGTTTAAGAACGTTTACAAGATGATGGATATTATTTGAAAAGTCACTGGCTCAAACTTGAATAAAGATGAGTCAGAAATCATGGAAAGTCTTTAGTGACTTAGAAAAGGCAGGGCAGGTTTTTAGACATTGATGGTGTGATATCAAACAATAAAAGGAAAAGCTACAAAAGCGGGTGAACCAAAATGGCAAAAAATGTCGAAACTGTGGAGTAAACGGTGGAATGTTAAGAACACGTAAATTCAAAGGCATGCAGGTCCAGCCGGGCAGTGTTCCCTTCTGTTGTGCATCAGGTTGCTAGAGGTCGGAATGACTCGATGGCACCTACCAGCAGCAGCAGCAGGTCCAGAACATCAAAAGAGGGCAAAGAAACTGCCTCAGCAACGTTAGGCTCAGAGGGTGGAACACAGTCCTGCCGTGTCTTACTGTTTCAGTTCTCAGCAGCAGCGGGTAACATTGCTCCTCAAGAGGAACAGTAGAAATCAGGGGTACCCAACTGACCTACACATACTTCTTAAATGTATGAGACTTTAATCCATTGCCACCAAAGCCATTCCAGCTCAGAAAAACCGCAGTGTGGATAGAAAACTACAAAAACCAATCAATAAAACGTCCCCTTTGACTGATGAAAGCACGGCCACACTGTTGGCTGGCCCCACGTCTTGGCTATCCCGCCTCTAAGAAAGACGGTTTCTTCTCAAAGAACAGAAGCAAATCAACAGCACAACAGGGTGATGAACTACATTGGACTTGTGGGAAATGGATTCTGATGGAAAAATACAAAGGGTATAAATAAGTAACTTTTCTCTCTCCATTTTCTTTTACTTGAGCTCTTGTAACTTAGTAGTTAAGCCTTTGGGTGGCTAACCAAAAGGCTGGTGGTTCAAATCCATTCTCAAAAGAAGAAATAGATGGCAATCTGCTTCTGTAAACATTACAGCGTCGGAAACCCCAGGGGACAATTCTACTTCGTCTAAAAGGGTTATTATGACTCAGAATCAACTTGACGGCAATGCATTTTGTGCACTTCAGTGAGAAAAATGAGCACGCTTTTTCTGTTGCCTTTTCCTGTTCGTGGCTGTCCTGTTAAAGTGACTGTCCAGACGGCTCCAACACATGACCACTTTATCTGCAATGGGACAAAATATTGCACCATCTTCATGGTCTTCAAGATGTCTGAGCCCCTTGATGGGCCTAGTGGGTCACCCTCTCTCGTGTCCTTTGAGCACAATTAATACTTGCAAAACACGGCCCCGAGGTGTCAGGCTCAGGCTGAGAACTCATGCTAAAGGAGGCTGGAAACCCGCACCTCTCCCAGCTTGGGATACATGAGAATATGATACATGAGAATATGATAATAGGAACTTAGAGGTGAAACTAATGAGAAAGGGTGTCTTTTTTTTTAGAACATGTCGTGGTCTTATAATCACATTGGCTTGAAAGACACTCAAGACTAAAGACAACCAAACAAGGATCCTGAGATTAGGGTCCCGGGCAATATCTCTTCTCCTTCTCATTTTAACCAAGAACATTCACAAAACTTGACTTACAACTTCTTTTGTTATCTTAGATCAGAGGTAAAATGTGAGTTAGCCTGCTTAGAAAGAAGGGAAAGAAGGGAAGTCATTTTCTGTTCTGATACTGCATGTGTTCTGACATCAAAGAATACAACAAAAACTATGGCACAAGAAACCAGAAAGCGGTGTCTATTGTTCTAAAACACTGTACAAATAACAGTTAAAGATTTGGCTGAACTCCTGAAGGAACATCAGGTCAAACAAGATCTTATACCGAGAATAGCACTCTATGAATGGCTTCCTTGTCTTGAGTTTCCTAGTAACTACTTGGTAAAACAACAAGTATTTGAACTTCTTTATGGTTTTTAAAATCTTCAGTTTTTGATGCAAAGCTCTGTCATGTGGTCTCATATGATGAGAGATATAGATCCTAAAAAGACGTCAGACAAAGATGTTTCTTCTATTCAACACATTACCCTATATCTTCAGAGAAATTTGGAGTCTCAACCATTACAAAATTCCCCAAAACAATCTGTATTTTAGGCTAAAGTACAAAGATATGGCATGGATAAATAGAGTCAGAATAAGATACAGAATATAGAAACAGAATTATCAAAAAGTATTTCATTTGTAAGCTGAGGCAGAAGACTATAGAGTAGATATGATGTAAAGAATAAGATAGAAAACAGTTTAATTCATTGTCAGTTCAATTTAGCAATGTAGAAAGTGGGAGAAAAACAGTCTCCTAACCCTAATTTTAATTAAGTACATCCTTTGTTTTAGTAAAAGTGTGGTAAACACTCTCCCCAGAAATCATGGAATCTTTTTTTTAAATTAGGGACTCATACAACTCTTATCACAATCCATACATAAATCAATTGTAAAGCACATTTGTACATTCATTGCCCTCATCATTCTCAAAACATTTGCTCTCTACCTAAGCAAATCATGGAATCTTATGTAATGGTCCAGATACCCGCTTCAAAGCCAGATGTAGTTAAATGATAGGATGTTTAATCTCATAATCACTTATAAAAATGTACTTACTTCACTGCTGACGGGTCCATACGAATGACCTGAAGAATCTGGTTCTTCTAAATACAGAGTGTAAAAGTGTGGTCTAAATCAAACAGTATCAAAATGTAATATTTTACGAACACAGTGAAAACCAGAATGGAAAGAATTCAACAATTGACAGCAATTAAAATTTTGACAATACTGTGGTAACATTTCTAAACTTGCTAGAAAATAATTTACAGGTTTGGAAGTCTTCCAAAGGTCACTGTAATAAGTTCATAAAAGAGTTCATTTGGACATAAAATACCATAGCCCATATGCAAGCTATTTTGTAGTCGATTTTAAGATATCCTGTCATCTCTATCAGACCAAGGAATATAAAAACGAATCATGTACATACCTTTCATCTTTAGGAAGCTGCAGCCACTTAAGAACAGCTAAAATCCGTTCTTCAAATGGCACTGAGCTACAACCAATGACAAAAGGGGTCAGATCTGTGGCAAGGGGTGCTTGCATTGGACATAAACATGCTTTGTTTCTGACAACCGGATTAAGAGACACTAAAACAGTTCAGGGAGTCAACTGTAATGAAGCCCTCTAACATTCTTATTTTCACAATTGTTTCTTATCCTAAAGGTAAAATAAGTTACGTTTCACACAAAAGTTCTAAGACATTTTTTAAAATGCTCCCTGTACTTCAGGAGATAAAGTACCTGAGAATCTCAATGACGTACCACAGGAGAAACCCATGTGTTAATACTTCCACAGGGGAAACCTCATGAAGGTCTCACTCACTGATGACAGATCTCATTTAGTGTCCAGGGAATGAGACAGAGATATTGTACTCTGTTCAAATGAACTATTAAGATTAAAATAATAGCAGAAGATTGCCATATGCATGGATTGTCCAGGAGTTGTGGTCTTTTATGTTTACTCCAAATATACCATTGGGAGAGAAATTATTTTTCCACAAAAATTCCCTAAGTAAAATAAATAATAATAAGTATTTTGTAGTTCTATTAAAATTTAGTCAAAGGAAGTCTACCACAACAAACTGTGTGTGTGTGTACATGTCTTTTTCACACAATACCTCATGGATTTTAAATCTCACAGGCGTGCTATTATTCTTATCAGTTTCTAATATGAGAAAGCAAAAATTGTACAATAATTTGTAAATGCAAACATAGATTATTCATAGTTCCATTAAATAATGTTTCCAGGGACCTAACTCTCCCCTTTAATATTTTTACCTTCTCTTTCTCTTGGTTTGTGTTTTGGTTTTGGTTTTTGCCTGAAGTTAGGCCTCCATCCGCAATCCTCTCCTTCACCATGATCTCACTCTTTATTCCTGCCCCAAGACCTGAACAAAAGCCTGACCAGATTGCCAGAGCTTTCTGGAAATCCTCTAGATCAATTTACAATTTATCTAAAGGCCTTTCAGTTCTTATTCTGATAGTTCTCACTTTTCAGCTAGTCTATTTGAGTCCTAGATCTTGGCACTTGATATAAAGGAGAAGGTGAGATGCAGGCTATGGAGGAGAGTGGAAGCTCACAATACATACATTCGCAGGGTCTACCCGGGGAATGAGCCCCCAGTGATTTCCCTCTGACCATAACTGAGGGAGGAGAATGACCTGGAGATCAGACAGAGAGCATGACAGAGATGACTACAGGAGATTAAACTGATACCTCTGGCTTGGATGGTTAAAAAGAAAAAGCAGTTCCTTAGTACTGCTCCTCTTGAAGAAAAGACATCCAAACATACCCATTGTACATTTTGTAGATGTCTGGGAGAACTCCACGGATTTTCACGTCTGATCCTGGCCAAAAGAATGTCCCAGATTTGAGGCCCTGATACTTAGCGGTGAGCCAAATCTGGGGAAGACAATGAAGGAGAGTTAGTAAGTCAGACAGACAGTCAGTCATCTCTTAGGAAAATATGTGTTCATCCAACATCAATATACGCGCCTCTTAGGTGGCAATCTTTTTAATGCTAATAAGTGCCTGCAGTTAGACTATAATAATCACATCAAAGGGAATGATAATGAGTCTCTGAAGAGCAGCAAAGAAATTAAGTAACCAGAGATCAAAGTCACCTGAAAAGGATGAACATAAGTTGGCACCCCCATAGCTTCTGGGGGTCTGCCACTCATTAACGGGTTTCTTGGAAAGAAGGGAAATTCACAAATATACGTCCCTTTAATTAATTGGTGTTTTCACATCGGTAACTAACATGAATTAAGCCCTTATTATTGCATTTTAATGTGGTATAAATGATTTTTCTAAGTGTCTGACATTATTAATTTACATAATCATTAGAGTGACCTTCAGCTCACTGCCATCGAGTCAGTGCTGACTCAGACAGACCCTTATTGAATAAGGTACAACTTCCCTGAGAGTTTCCGAGACTGTAACTGTTTACCGGAGTAGAAAGCCCGTCTTTCTCCAGCGGTGCTGCTGGCAGTTTTGAACTGCTGACTTTGGGATTGCAGCCCAACAAGTACCCACTACACCAAGAGGTAGTTATCAGTATGATCTATCATGCAGATGTGAGAAAACTGAGGCACAGGAAGAAGAATTTGATCATTCACACAGCCCTAAATGTCAGGAATTGAAGTTTGAATCTATTTCCTGTAATCTTAACCATTAAGTTTTTGTTCTGTTTTTCATCCTAAAATGAATATCAATACTATCCCTTTATAAACCACTGTGTATATATTTTTTTAAAAATCACATCTAAATCAGATTAAGAGAGAACATTCTGAGCTAACATTCACAAATGAAGCGGCTTATTTCCTCCAGCAACAAATTAGCCTTGCGTAGCCTAAGCCTATTCCCTAGACCAGTGCTATATGCCACTGGCACACAGGGGAGCCGAGCAGAAGGAGAAGGGCTCAGCATGACCCCACCCCGCTCTGAAATGAACTGCTCTCCTTATCACAACTCGCTCTCAGAATCATCAGCATTCACCTTCCGTCGACCAAGGGACAGCCACAGACAGAACGTGAAATGGGTTATTAAAAGCTCCAGGACATGTGGTCATTGACTTTGATGACAATAATAAAAGAACTCATTTTAATAGTTGAAACAAACAAACAACAACTCACAGGCTCTCCTTTGTACCACTCAGGATTAAATTTCTGTTTACTCTTAAGTGAAAAGGAAGCGTTCATTTTGGGATCATACATTTTGTTGTCAATTATGCCATGAGATTCTGGATAAAGTCCCTAGAAGATTAAAAAAAAAAATGCAGGTTTTTAGGTAAGTTATGAACTTTTCTACTGTCGTCACCGAATAAAGCCATCAAAGAGAAATGAATAACTGCAGCTATGAGGATTTCTAATAAAGTTTAAGGAGGGAAGAACAAAGAATGCCGTTGAAATACAAACCCTCAACAGACTGGGTAGTGTTTGTGTTTAAAATGTGTGTGATCGGAGAAAATAAAGAGGTAATGGCATGGATGAATGTCTATATAAATAGGCAGCCTCCCCAAAAATATTCACCTTTTTGCATTGCTGGATGTAATCGTTTTATTCTTTTTTTTTTTGGCAAAGCAAACAGCTATTGCTTGGGTCTAAGAATAGTTTAGTGCCATAATAAGTACAATCTAAAGCACTAATTTTCTGGCTTCAGCTCTAAGGCTTAATGAAGTCTACTATTTTTCCAAATACAAATTAAATCTGGGAACTGTGATTTAAACCCAAACAGGGCTGTAACCTTTTGTGCAGTCAGACAAAGTGGCTTGCTTCAAATGACTGAAAACAATGAGCTGAGAGCACGTGACTGTGGAGCAGTGGGGTTTTTTTTGGCTCAAATAAACAATCCAGCAATTGAGAAAAATCAAGACCTAAGAATCAGACATTCTTAAAATCAGGGCAAAACCTAGAGGTCATTTGAGGGTCGTTCGTCACTTGCTTTTAAAATGGAGAAAACTGAGATGCAGGTCAGTGACTTGCCAAGGTCACGGCTAGTGAGCAGGAGATCATGAGACAGGGTCGAGGTGTCCTCATGGAAGTGCCCTTGGGAAAGGAAGTGGGTTGGTCTGGTGCTCTGACCTGAAGTATGTAACATCTGCATCTCCCCCCTTAGGAGTATGTTGTGTTATTACTTGCCAACAACAAATGGTGGCTGCATGTGGGCAGAGTAAAATTGCACCATGGGCTTAAGGCTGTGACCTTTCAAAGGCAGACCAGTAAGCCTGTCTCCCAACAGGCCTGTGGTTCTGTTCAAATAGCCAGGCTTTCGGCTAGGAGTGACGCACATAACCACTGGCATTCCCTAGGGACTCTGTTAGGTACAAAGGACAGTTCAAATACAACTTACGGTGACAATGCTGTAGTGATTGGGAAACGTTTTGGTTGGATACACTGGTCTCATGTTTTTAGTGTATGTGCCACAGTTTTCTAGGAAGGAAGAAAAAAAGACGGCTATTAAATATATCTGAGAATCTGTTAACCCCTTTAGGTTCAGTACCATGGCAGTCTAAATCTTAGAAAAGGATGTATTAGCCCAGGGTGGATTTATCACTGTATAAAAATTGAAGATTAATTATAAAGCAACATTATAGTTTCAAATTCAGTATTAAAGAGCTCATTGTCAATCACAGTAATATTTAACAAAATAATTAAACCAATTAACTTATCACCTCATATTAAACATAATATTAAGTTCAAGAAGGATAAGCTATAAAAACAAAGTTTGGTAGACACCTTTTGATATTATTCGGTGGTTGCAAACCTGTTACAAGAGGTATTTTAAAAACAACACAAAGCCCTGTATTCATGGGAAAATCACAGGGTGAAGCGGAAGCTGGGGTGATAATCTTCCAGTCCACAGATCAAGAACCAGCTACACCTGAGCAAACGCATCACTGTTTCAAAGACAAGAGAAGAGGCAGCTTTGAGTTTCGTTTAGAGAAAGTTCAGAACACAGACTGTTCTGTTGGCCTGCTGACATAGTACTGCCTCTACGACTTGAGGACGGTGTGCATAACGAAAGATCCCAGCAATTCAGTATGTCAAGGTCTGTTGCTGCTACTGTTGCTTGCTTTGAAGCCACTCCACTGAGAGACAAAGGCATGGCATTGCTGAAAGACCATGGCGATAGCCACCTCCTGATAGCAAAGACCTGTTTACACACATTTTTGTTTGGAATAAACCCTTGTATGTATAAACTTTGTTACTTATCCTTGTATGTGTGGTAGATGTGTATGTTTGTGTGTACATAAAAATCCTCAATTGGACCAATACACAGCATCATGACACAGCGATAATGCTGAAGTTGTCAAGGTTTTCATTTTAATTAGATCCATCAATGCATATGAAAGCAGCAGCCAGGAAATCAAACGATGTCTTATCTTAGACAAATTCGCTGCATAAGGCCTTTTTAAAGTTTTAAAAAACAAGGATGCCACTTTGAGGATTTGTGTTTGACCCAGCCATGGTATTTTCACTCGCCTGATATTCATGTGATATCTGGACAAGAGTAAAGGAGATTGAAAAAGAATTGGTGCCTTTGAGTTGTGGTAGTGCCAAAGAATATTACGAGTCCATGAATTGTCAGAAGAATGAACAAATTATGTTTGGGAAGAAGTACAGCCAGAAAACTGTTTAGAAGTGAAGTTTTGAAACTCAGTCTCAGTGGGGGAGTGTGGAAAGGAGACCCAAAGCTCATTTGTAGGCCACTGGAGATCCCCTTGCAAAGGGGTCTCTGGGAGGAGACCAGCCAGTCAGGGTGCGATGTAGCAACCATGAAAAATACAACTTTCCTCTAGTTCCTAAATGCTTCCCCCCACCCCCACACACACACCCACTATTCTGATCCCAATTCTACCTTGCAAGTCTGGCTAGACCAGAGGATGTACATTAGTACAGATAGGAACTGGAAACACAGGGAATCCAGGGCGGATGATCCCTTCAGGACCAGTGGTGTGAGTGGCGATACTGGGAGCGTAGAGGGAGGGTGGGTTGGAACGGGGGAACCGATTACAAGGATCTACATGTGACTTCCTCCCTGGGGGATGGACAACAGAAAAGTGGGTGAAGGGAGATGCCAGACAGGGCAAGATATGTCAAAATAATAATTTATAAATGATCAAGGGTTCATGAGAGTGGGGAGCGGGGAGGGAAGGGGGCAAAAAGGAGGACCTGATGCCAGGGGCTTAAGTGGAGAGCAAATGTTTTGAGAATGATGAGGGCAATGAATGTACAAATGTGCTTTACACAATTGATGTATGTATGGATTGTGATCAGAGTCGTATGAGCCCCTAATGAAATTATTTTAAAAAAATAAGAATGTAAGAGGTCGGAGAAACCAGATTAATGGAAACTTTAAAAAACAAAAAGAAAGAAAAAGAGAAAGGTCATCATGTCATGGAATAACAACAGTAGCTGAAGCAAGAGGCTCAGCGGTAACAAGTACTAAGATACTGCAAGAGTGGGCACGGTTTGTTCTGTGGTAGGTGGGCTTGCTATGAATCAGCCAATTCAATGGCATCTAAAAACAACGCATACATGAGGGGGCTTCAAAAAGTTTGTGGAAGAATTCCATTATCTTTTCGTTCCATATTCCCACAAACTTTTTGAAGCTCGCACCATGCATGTTCCAGGTGGCACAGTAGTTAAGTGCTCAACTGCTGGTAGTGCAGCAGTTTAAACCTCAGCGCCAGTAACAGTTTACAGGCTTGGGGTAGCTCTACTCTTGAATAGAGTCTCCAAGTCAGAATAAACTCAAAGGCAACAAGTTTGGCTTGACCTTCTTAAAAGTTGAGAATTATATGCTACATTCCCTAAACATTTAAAACAAACAAAAAAGGTGCATGGATTTATTTTAAGCTTGACATGTCAGAACCCACATTTCCTTAATTATGAACTTAGTAAGCCATGTTTGGTGTCATTGAGGCAAACTTTCCTCCAAATGATAACAGCATGCGGAATTCAAGCTTCCAAAGCCATTCATGTAGCTAGAAAGAACAGAACCTTACCCAGGCAAGTTCTTTGCTGCCTTTTCTTAAATATCTAAGCTAATTACTACTCAAAGCTACTTTCTTTCAGATCAAATCTGTTGTTACCAAAATAATTAAGAACAAAAATTATTAAGTTATGAAAAATATTTGGCACTTAATAAGATAACCATAGTCCTTATGTGATTTACTGAAAATGATTCTTAATATTTAAATCATATACTCAGTGCTGGCAAATACAAATTAAAAATTCTAGAAGAATACTGAAATAATTAGATTCTGTTTCTTTCATTCAGGTGCAAACACTGTAACTACTTCAGCACTTAAAGATTGATCATGAGAGCAAAATTCTATAGTTTTTACATCTATTTATGAGTTTGTCCTCTAAGGAGAATAATGATACAACTGTTATTCACAATGCCATTTGGTAAAGTGATTTAAAACTCTGGCAGCAGGAATACCAGGAGAGAAACAACAGCAAGATTCTACTAGTGCATCAATCACATAAAATAGCCATTTCATATATGCTGGGACCGAGATAAGTTGGAACACTTCTATAATAGCTAGCAAGCAAATATTCGGTGACAATTCTAGTAGTGCCATTTCAGAAATGCATTCAATTTTTTTAAATTCTACTTTTAAAATAGAATGCTTAAACAAATTAAATGAATGTTTCCAAAAGAGAAATCAAAATTGTATCCAAGAAATGAAAATCCAAATATAACTATATTATCTTTGAAGTATTTTCAAAACAGCTTCAGAGTAATTACAATATTATAGACTATTTCCTTGTCATCAAGCTCCACTACTCGCAGCAATGTCGTTTGGTAAAACAGTTAGATTTTCTCAGTACTTTTCCAAAAAGGACTGCCCTCCTAGCGTAGATCATTGAAACTATCACACTGCAATAGTAAACTCCGAAGTTACTCACTTAGTTTGCTAATAACAGGAAGAAGTCCACCCCAAGTGTGCAAATATTCTGCCCTGAAACCATCCAAAGAAAACAGGAGAGTAGGAGGCTTTTCAAACCTGGGTAATGAAGAAAGAAAAAAATACGTATCTTTTAAGAGAGAGACACAGCCAGTGAAGAGTTCCCTTTCTTTAGCACAGGACAATGACGGTTTTCCACTGAGGCGAGAACATGCTGGGAAGTGCATGAACAAGCTCAGCATACTCTGCATGAACAAGCTCAGCATACTCCTAAGGGACACTGTATTCTACATGACTTGAGGTTCAGGGGCATGCTTTTACATTTCTATATATACAATAGGTATATATTGTATTAAGCACTTATTAAGCACTCATACTGTTTTGATAATTACCATTTTGAGCACGCCTTTCCAAACGCCAGACCAATGCATTTTGCTACTAAATTGTAATGACGTTTTCCCAAGTCATAAAAAAATACATGTTAATGAGCAGCATTGTCAATATTGTTTTCATTTCCATAGATTTCTTTGAAACAACCAGTTTCTCATACCAATTGCACCAATCTAATAAATGGCATCTCATATTTCATGAATTACATATAATAATTTTCCACTTAATGTCCTTAAATTGCACCAATCTAATAAATGGCATCTCATATTTCATGAATTACATATAATAATTTTCCACTTAATGCCCTTAAATGATAGTAATATTTCAGAGAAGTCTGAGAGCGAGTTTCTAAGATCACATTTAAAAACATAAACAACAGAGAAATGATTCAAAGCTAGGATTGAAAATCCACACAGGGTTCACACACACACACTAACACAGTGCCTGTGGATGGTATGGAAATCCAAACACCGGGGGTTTAGAAGTATGACCCTGAACTCAACAAAAACAGACGGCTGTGGATAACGACGGGGCAGCAACAACACCGCCATGGTTCTGAAATCCTGCAGCTTCAAGCCCCAGCTAATCCATAGTCGGTCACTGGAAAACCATGAGCAAGTTTTATGCTGAAAAAATTCAGCAAAAGCTTTTTGCTGAGAAAACTCAGAGAAATGTTTCCTTGTAGTTATCCAGTGGCCTATGACTGCCCTACTAGCTACCAGATGTAGCTAGAAGCAGCAGACTTTCATTTGATAGCTTAAAACATGCTGTTGATCATTTAAAATATGCATGCAACTATTACCTCTCCGTGGCCTTTGCAACCAAACCTCCTCCCTATCTTACTCTGACACAAACAGAGAGCAACCTTACAAAAAGAGAGGAAACATTTACATAAACTCCACGAAGACTGCATAGCAGAGTTCCTTTGGGAGACTGCGCAGAAGCAACTGTGTATAATCTCAAGGGTCTGTATTTGTACAAAATTATTTATACTCAGTCAGCTGAGATATAAGAGCAATCCAGGTGAATATACTGGTGTAATAATTTCAACTTCTAAATCCGGATCTTCCTGACAAACGGAGGAATTGAATTTTCCACTCATGATAAAGTGCTGACCAAAAGAAAAAAAAGAATCAATGTTTAAAAGAAAAAGAAAGAATCAAAATTCGCTAAGGATGAGATTTCCAATAAGCTTCACGCTTCACAGCAATGTTCGTCTACAAGAAAAGTCATCCTGGGAAGAAGAGAGCGCCCGTCTGTCCTGCTGCGCTGGGCGTTTCCTTTGGGCTGAGCAGCTGCTGCCGCTGTTAACTATTTGCTGTTTTCTACCGAAAAGGGGCTCCCCCATCCAAACAGGCAGAGATAAAGTAGATACTCTATGCAAACGAAATTGTATACCCAAACAAAATATGCTAAAAGACAGCCTTTGAAAGTTTTATATTTTAGAAACTCGTTATTCTAAATATCCTCCTGGAGGCTAATAATTCAAATGATCTGCGCTGATGGAACAAAGGTAAACACATCTGGGGCCCCGGCGTTTCCATTCCATTCCAAACAAACTCTTGATGGCGCTTTGCAAAATGCTTGACATGTAAGAGACCGTGCACAGTACCTTAGGAGCACGAGGGAGGAGACATGAATGGTAACAATTATAGGCCATTCTCTCACAGCCAGTTTGCTTATCCGGAAAATGTTTAACAAATGAACCAAATGCCAAACAATAAAAGGTAGCTTTCACGTGCTACAAGTTCACGTCTTTACCAAAGGAAATCACAATTGGAGTAGACTCTATGGCAGTGAGTTTGGTTTGATGCTTCCTTTTTAGAAATTTAGTACTTAAATTCATGGTTTCGTGGTACTAAATACATTAGCGCTCTCTCTCGCTCTCTCTCTCTCTCCAGTAGTTTCCAGGGTAGAGAATGTACCACACCATCTCCATGCTACCACTGCAAACAAAAACCTGACTGAAAATAAAGATGAATGAATCCGGGATTGGTTCTTATTCTTATTCTCCACACGGCAAGAAACAGAAATGCTTGGTGCATCACTAGGATCTCTGAGCATCGGCTTACCCTGCTGGACACTGGGGCTCATCAAGGCTCTCACACATTTCTTCAACCCAGCTTCTCTCACCTGGTACGGTTCCAAGAAATAAGGCAAGTTGAGCACATTTCATTGTAACAATCGAGAGGCATTAAATGGGAGTCAAAAATCAAAATGTGTTAACTGATAAATGAAAAGAAACCACTGGACATGATATGGGGAAATAGAAACACCAAAGGGAGTTTTTTGTTGTTTTTGTTTTTGTTTTTTCAAAATAAGAGTTAGTAGGTATCAGGGAGAAAACGCAAAATAGAGTTAATTGACCCCGGGGTTATTAGAAGGCTAAAATACACTGCTGAACTTGTTAAGAACCAGAAGGCATCTCTTCCATTCTCAAAGTTTTCATGTTTTTAACCAAAATTGACAACCCTCCTGTTGGCTACCCTGTAAAATCTTCCGGCATTAAGTCCTTGCTGTGAGTTCCCCATCAGAGATAGGCACACCTGTCAAGGAATCCCGTAGACCTGGACAGGTCAACCTAATAACACCAGCTTATATATCCTGTGATTTTTAAAAGTAATTTCTCACCGACTATCTCAACACAGGGTGGGTGTAGTCCTCATTTACTATGAGGGTATAGACAGAGATTTAAGCCAGAGCTGGGAAAGTCTTATTTCCACCAACACAGTATCACATATGCAGCTATTAACAAATATCAGTAAGGGTGACAGAGAGTGAATGACAGATGACAGCTGAAAAGATAGTACTGGCCACATGTCCAAAAACTACCCCAAAACACAAAACTTACTGCTCAATTCTGACTATAGTGATCCTATGGTAGAACTCCTGTGAGTTCCTACCAGAGTAATTCTTGCTGCAGAAAGAGTAGAAAGGCTCATTTTTCTCCTAAGGAGTAGCTGATGGTTTTGACCTGACCCTGCGCTTAGCCCAAGTAGTAACCACTATGGGACCAGGACCCCTTATTGGCCCTGTGCAGGTAAGCGTTATCAGGCGGGGCCATGTGTACAACGTTCATTAACCCAATCTCACTACTCTGGGCTGTGTTTGAAATTTTCTTTAATAAAAGATGTTTCATAAGTTGGCCCTTAAATATGAGGCCTACTGTCAATCAGGGAGTCTCTGCCAAAGCCCAGGATGAGAGGAGGCGGCTGCAGAAGCCAGGGACCCAGGGAAACCTGACCTTGACACACAGAGCTGTAGTTGATGCAGCAGTCGCCGTTTTCCCTGCAGTCGTCCGTGCAGGAGCAGAGGCTTCTCGACAACCTTTTCTCACCACACCGGAACTTGTTGCACGTCCATATCCGCTCTAGAAACAAACACCAAACAACATACAGCTGATGGTTCAAACTGAACACAGAATCACCTCTTCTGCAGGATGATCCCTAAGAGACAAGTATGCCACTGTAGCTCTTAGTGATGCCCAGAACCTGACGCTGCAGAGGTGGATGTGAACTAACAGGTAGGGACCATGCAGGCATCAAGAAGCATGATTTCACTCAACTCCAGAATTTCAGAATTTTAATCCTGGGACATGTACAAGTCGTGCTATACAATCCATGTGTAGATTTAGGCTGTTTCCACTGGCCATGCTCAGGGTCCTGGAAATGTCCTCTAAACATGACTCATCCCCACTGAAATATCATTCCGCGTCAGATCCAGAAAAGCCCAGAGTGAACTTAGAATACTTAGTTTAAATCAGAACATCAAAGCATTCAGTATATACAAACATTAGAGGTATAGCTTTGTTATCTACAAAATGGTTAATTAAGGCAAAATATTTGGCATTTGTTCTCTAAGCAATTTCTGGAAGAATAAAACCCGTGGTAAAAAATGTATGTAAGTTAGTTTTTTAAAATCTCAAATGAATTATCTAAATCACATACCTAAACATTGCAAAAATTTCCTATAACTTTTGGCTAAGGGCCTTGACTCCATGCATTGCCCTGATCATGCTTACCTGGTTCTATACATGTTTCCTGATAATCCAGACAGCAGTTTCCAAGACCCACGCAGGCAACATCACAGCGACAATTCCCAAATGTTCTCTCAAAACAGCGACCTTTGCAACTTTTAACTGAAAACATGGAGCAGTGAGTTAGGTATTCCTAATCGCTCTATGAGTATTTACAAAGCAATCGCCAGCAAACACCGCTACTTAGCTATAGACTGGGCTCAAAAATTGTTTTGGAGAACACAAGATGGGGCAAGAATTTTATACCAACACACTTAAAGGACACAACTAGAAAATAACCAGATCTACTGAGTTCCTGAGTTTACCTCTTGCATCAAGAAAAAGAGAATTTTATTACAAAATTTTCCTGGTTGGGAAGAGATTTCAATCTCTATGGAAAATCGTAAAAGAAAAGCAGAAATTAATAACTCGTTTTGAATATTTGACCTTATTTTGGGGCGGGCTTAATATTCCGAAACATGGGGAAAGATCCAAAAGGTGACCCTCTATGGCTATGCCACAGAGAGAATGAGCACCAGGCTCATCCCCTTCTCCATCTTTGTATCAAGAGCAAGTCGTGTGCTTGTGCAGCACTTCCTGCAGCACTGCCTGCCTCCCACACCTCAACAGCAACATTCAGGTGACCTGCAGATTCAGCTGGGCGGCAGCCTTTCCTAACTCCCCATCTGTTTCCTCTTTTAAAGTTCTTGTCCTTTCATTTATCAGTTAATGCTACTTGTAACTAAATTAAATATATACCTGCTTCACACTCGACTCTAAAATTCTTAAAATCAAAGACCTTGTAAGGATTTTGGCCAGCATACCCAGGAAGGTACCCAGCTGGTACTTGGTCCTTGATACATTTTGTTAAATGAATAAATGGTAGACCCAGAAGAAAAAGAAATTTCATTAAAACCCAAAACTATCCCATTGCAACTCTTTACTAGAGACCTTATTGGATTCTATAGGGTTGCCATGAGTCAGGATTGATTTGAAGGCAGTGAGTTTGGGTTTGACTAGATTCTTATCAAATCAAGCGTGGGATGATAGATAAAACCCACACCTAAAATAATGGAAGTCCAACTGAAAAAAAAAAAAAAGAAGAAGAATCTTAATTTCTTGCTGCATTGGTCTCCAAACCCCAAAAAGACATTGCCACAGAATTAAACTCTTATTTGGCAGTGGGAAATCAGGCAGTTATAGGAATACAAAGTGGCAAAAAAGAATTTTCTAGGATCAGAAATGCCAACTCTTGACTTCGAAGAAAAAGCTTTTAGAATAACAGCTATGATTTGACTATCATGAATAGCGCTCTGGTGGCAGAGTGGATTGCAAGCTGGGCTAACTGCAAGCTCTGTCTGCATTTGAAACCACCGCTGCGCCTGAGAGAAAGACAAGGCTTTCCACCCCCCTGGCAAGTGACAGGTTTGGAAACTCACCAGGGCAGCCCTACTCTCGTCGTCCTACAGGGCCACTAGGAATTGGAATGGACACGATAGCAGTGATTATTTTTTAATATGTACCTTGTAATTTTGTAAACTTGTAACGATATATATTTATGCTAGATTTAAATTTTAAATTACTGTTTTGAATCCTGTGGTTTTATTTTTGTTAAGGGTCCAATTGAACTCAAGGTGAATTATTCTTGCCAAAAGAAGACATAAAACTAAATTCATTGCCATCAAGTTGATTCTGACTTATGACAACCCTCTAGGAGGGTCGAAAAGCTTTCGTGAGTACTCAAGACAGTACATCTTTATGGAAGTCAAATGCCTCATTTTTCTTCTTTGGAGCAGCTGGTGGTATTGAACTGCTGGCTTGTTATTCAGCAGCCCAAAGTATAACCCATTAGGCCACAGGGCTCCTCAAAGACACACGTGAACACTAACATTTAAAACTTCATTTTTAATCGCTTCTCGGCCTTTTGGCTAAGATCAAGTGTAAAACTTCATTTTATCAAACTTAGGTACATTTGCTCTGAAATTATTTCTGAATAAATAAATAAGACTATTAGATTTCCTTCATTTGAAAATAAATGATAGCCTAGTAGGAAAAGGATTTGTTCTCATTTCAAAACTGAATTTCTTAGTTAACCCACCAGTGACTTTACGCACACACAACCAACCAACCCCAGAATAAAAATAATAGCCAATACAATTCACTGTGATTCAGATTTTGATTATTTCTATATCATCAGGAGCCCAGGTGGCAGTGTGGTTATGAGTTGGGCTGTGATCCGCAAGGTCCACAGTTCAAAGCCACTAGCAGCTCCTCAGGAAAAAAATGGGGTTTTCTACTCTGGTAAAGAGTCACAGTCTGAGAAACCCCTAGGAGCAGTTCTACCCTGTCCTAAAGAGTCCCCACAAGTCAGAATTAACTCAATGGCAGTTTAATAAAAAACATTATCATCAATGCTGGAGAGATTTCTGAACTCAATATAAATTTTTGAAATGTCTAGAATATTGGAATATTCAATAATATCAATATTGCTTACAAACGAACTGTGACCACAACTCAGACTACCTTACAAGCACTTAATGATATGCTTCTAGTTGCCCAGGGAGAGTACCCAGTCACCTAGTAACCTCTAGGTCTGCTTCTGCAAGTCACTCCTTGGGGAAAAAGTGTCCCTGGAGAGTTGTGGAGGAAATCAGTCGGGGAGGGTTCCAGGAACACAGCGCCAGGAGCTTGTTTGTAGACCATGTTGATTTTTTGGCTTGGTCTTCTTTTGATTTGATGAATGAATGTGTTTGTCAGGGTGCCTTCTCCTTGTTTTTGACTGATGTTTTTCCAGTAAACAGAAGTTTTCATGGTTAACACAACACAAGAGTTCCCAGTTGGGGTCAAGTTGATTATGATCCAGAAGTATCAAGGACAGAATTATGTTCTCTAAGGCTTTTTAATGACTAATTGGGTGAACTCAAACTTTCAACCTTTCAGTTAGCAGTTGAGTGAGTGTACTAACCATTTCCATCTGCACCGCCCAGGACGCACTCCCCAGACCGGAACTACAAGAAGAAAGAAAACTCAAGCCTGTGCCAAGTGTGCAATATCTATGAATAGCCCATCAGATTGCTGAATGATGGTTATCTCAATCTCATTCTGAAGAAGGCTGCATATCAGCCCACACAACTTGCACCCCAAACATGCACATGGCACAGAGTAGAATTGCCCCAGAGGGCTTTCCAGGGGGTAATCTTTACAGAAGCAGACTGGCACACCTTCCTCCGGTGGAGTGGCAGATGGGTTCAAACTGCTGAACCTTTTAGTTAGCAGCAGATCACTTATCAGGACTCCCACACACGCACTAAGTTGTTGTTGTGTCAGATGCCAGTGAGTCGGTTCTTACTCATAGTGACCTTATGTACGACAGAGGGAAACACCATCCTCACAATTGTTCGTATGTTTGAGCCCACTGTGGCAGCCGCTGTGCCAATCCATCTTGTTGAGGGCCTTTCTCTGCCCCTCTACTATACCAAGCATGACGTCCTTCTCCAGGGTCTACTCGCTCCTGATAGCATGCCTACAGTATGTGAGATGCAGTTTCAGCATTCTGGTTGTATTTACTCCAATGCAGATTTGTTTGTCCTTTTGGGAGTCCATGATATTTTCAATATTTTTCTCAGCACCATAATTTACATGCATTGATTCTTCTTCAGTCTTCCTTATTCAATACATGCATAAGAAGAATTTCAACGTTATAAATCTGGCTAGACCAGAGAATGTACACTGGTACAGATAGGAACTGGAAACACAGGGAATCAGGACAGATGATCCCTTCAGGACCAGTGGTGAGAGTGGTGATACTGGGAGGGTGGAGGGAGAGGAGGGTAGAAAGGGGGAACCAATTACAGAGATCTTCATATAACCTCCTCCCTGGGGGACAGACAACAGAAAACTGGGTGGAGGGAGACGTGTAAGACAGTGAAAGATATGACCAAAATAATAATTTATGATTTATCAAGGGTTCATGAGGGAGAGGGGAATGGGAAGAGAGTGGGGGGGAAATGAGGACCTGATGCCAGGGGCTTAAGTGGAGCGCAAATGTTTTGAGAATGGTGAGGGTAATGAATGTCCAAATGTGCTTTACACAATTGATGTATGTATGGATTGTGATAAGACTTGGATGGGCCCCCAATACAATTATTTTAAAAAATAAAAAAAAGAAGTGATTGAAAAATACCATGGCTTGGGCCAGGCATCTTAATCCTCAAAGTAACATTCTTACTTTTCACCACATTAAAGAGTTCTTGGGCAGGAGATGAACTCAATTTGTCATTTGATCTCTTGACTGCTGCTTCCATGAGCACTGACGGTAGATACAAGCAAGACAAAAACCCATGACAACTCCAACCTTTTCCCCATTTATCACGATGGGACCTATTGTTCCAGCTGTGAGGATTTGGGTCTTCCTAACGTGGAGATGTAGTCCATGTTGAAGGCTGCAATCCCTGATTTTCATCAGCAAGTGTTTCAAGTTCTCCTGACCTTGAGCAAGCAAGCTTGTATCATCTGCATATCGCAGGTGAACAAGGCTTCCTCTAATCCTCATGCCAAATTCTTCTTTATATAATCCAGCTTCTCTGATGGTTGGTTCACAGTATAGACTGAATAAATTATGGTGCGAGTGTACAACCCTGATGCACACATGTCCTGATTATAAACCATGTAGTATTTATTCCCTTGGTCTGTTTGCTACTCCTGAGGAATTAGCCACTGAATGCATGATGTATGGATAGCATCAAAACACACCCACTAGACTTTATATTCATTACCTTCTTTGGCACAGCTTGGTTTCAACCCAAATATACAGCCAAGGATTGTTGTTAAGACACAGACTGACAATACCTGTGGGAGGAAAGTAAAAAATATATAGCTTCAAAATCTTTACTACTTCAAACATTTCTAAACCGGCTAGGGCTGCTATTTTTGATCTGAGTGTGAGTTCCACAGATATGCTCGCCATGTGCAAATTTATCATTACAACATCACACCATTGTGTAAAATCAGACCGCAATAAAAACTTTACTTCAGTGTTATCAAATCATTCTACGCCATCCAAAGGGAAAGTTGCCAGAATTTTCCAAGGTAATGTCATGGAATCCAGTCACAGAAACATTAAAAATGATGGGAGTAGAAAATCTAATTAGACTCAATTTCTTGTTTGCTAAATCACTAATGGCAACCTGAGAGTTGGATACGTTTTAACAGTGTAGCTATGCAAACTTACCATGAAAACAACCATGATCTTGAACCGCAGTTTTACTACTGACTGGTTGCATAATTAGGGCAAGTCACTAAGCTTTCGAGGCATCAGTGTTTCTCATCTGTAAAGAGCTGGATTACATAGCTTTCTAAAGATCTTCCTAAAGATCTTTCCAGCTCTACCACTTGACAATGTTCTCCGTCTCCACGGATCTGGCTTCCTACCTTTTAAGATCTCTTGAGGAAATGTTCTTCTCAGCCCTCTAGCCGTAGTGAGCATAGCACACAACTACTCAAAGAATGACTCGGGCAGAATAACCCATCAAACTGTCCTCATTATATTTTAATATAATGAGGTTTTCTTTAGAGCCCTAAGGAATGTCCCTTCCCGGGGCACCAACTGCCAACTCTACGTGAAGGCTTTGCTATACTCAAAAGGAAGGGAGTCAAGAGATACCACAGGGAGGTTCTATTTTTGTGAGTAAAGGTAAACAGAACAGCATGCAGGACTCCCATTTGATAGGCTCTTGGAAGTGTTAGCTTTGGTTAAAGGAAAGCGAAAGTGGCCCTGGTTGGGCTGGTTCAGAGGAGGTCAGATGGAACTTGGTGACGGAAGCCTTCAGGGTGGGCTCTGGAAAAAAAGAAATGATGGTGCACGAGTGCCAGGAAGTTAGTGGAAGGGAAGAGAGAGCAGAACAAGCCTCCAGGTAGACGGGCAGCATAAAGAAACTGAGGAGAGATGGCGCACAGAGAGTCAAGCGTTAATAATGAGCAGCCTATTTGGGCTAGAACAGAGAAAAATAGATAGAGGTATGGAGCAGTGGGCTCAGAGATGACGGCCCGCTAACACCCCCACCCCTTCTCCATTGTGTCTCTAGGAAGGGCCATGAAACCCAAAGCGAAAGCCTGAAACAGATGCAGTGGATGGACTGGAAAGAAGACCCAGATTTCCAACCCATTCGTCAGTGAGACCCCAGTCATTTCGGTGAGAACCACACTAGGTCACAAGAGCGTATTTCTGTTTTGAAACAGACTGACTTAAAATTGCTTCTGCCCTCACTACCATAAGAAACAGAAGTATGGCAATGGAAACAATCATTTCTTATCTACAATCACATCCATTTAACACAATGAAATTCAGAGTCTCTGCTACGCCACGACAGACCACCCAGTCAGAACAACTGCTGGTAGAAGATTCCTCGTGCGACTTCCAGAGCTGCGCAACTGAATTCAGTTTGAGTTCCCTTCTTGAGTAGTTCAAAGGTCAACCCCCATTCCCATCCCTACAATAATATAGGTATTGGGCATCTTTTGATATTTACTTTGAAAACGTGAAGCGAGGAGACATAGGAATAACGCCAGAGTTGTTGGACTATTACGTTTCCGAGTTAAAACAGTATTTATCTGAGATGTCCTGCTTCTTAGTCAGAATCCCCAAATCTTTCTTAGATATTTAGTGAACTAAGAGAGACAAAGAGATCACCTTATATGTTTTCCTCAACAGTTCCCTTAGGTGCTGTGACACTGATAAGCGCTATTTTCTCTACCTAACATCTATCAAACCCCATGTGCCTATTGTGTACAGTGACTGGGCTGACAGCCAACAATCAAGCACCTCTTGTAGGCAGCAGAAGACAGACATAAAAACACGTGATTACAATGGAACGGCACAAGAGCTACAATAAAAACTATGGGTGGTGGGGGGCTGGGGGATGCCAACACCAACAAGTAATAAAACAAAGGGTAGCAGAACAGCAGAGTGGGTGAAGGGAGACGTCTGACAGGGCAAGATATGACAAAATAATAATTTATAAATTATTAAGGGCTGATGAGGGAGGGGGGAGCGGGGAGGGAGGGGAAAAATGAGGACCTAATGCCGGGGGCTTAAGTGGAGAGGAAATGTTTTGAGAATGATGAGGGCAATGAATGTACAAATGCGCTTTACACAATTGATGTGTGTATGGATTGTGATAAGAGTTGTATGAGCCCCTAATAAAATGATTAAAAAAAACAAACAAACAGTAAACTGGGGAAAAAAAAAAAAGGAGAGCAGAAAGGGAGAGAAAACAGTGAGGACGGAAAGGGTCACCTGTGTGTCAATGGTGTTTTTTCCATGAACTTTTTGAATCGCCTCTTATTTTATGGGGGAAATTATACATTTTCTGCCATGCTTCTTGGGAAACAAACTGTAGGAAATTAAAACAACAACAAAACAATATGAAATTAAAGACTATATGTGAATTGAAAATCACAGTGGTGTGTGTGTGTGTGTGTGTGTGTGTGTGTGTGTGATGTAGGTGGATATTTAGACAAAGCGCAAAAAAATTTTTTAGTGGTGAAATCCCACTTCTCAGAATTTAGAATGAAAAAGGACAACAGCAAGCCTGGAATGCAGTCATTTTTTGAACATACAGATATGAAATAGTGAGGGGCAGCCTAAGTTTTAAGCTACCTAATCACGTTCTCGCTGCCATCGACTCTTAGCGGCCCTATGGGGCAGGGTAGAACTGCCCCAGTGCTTTTTCAAAACAGTTAATATTTACGGGAGTGGGAAGCCTCGTTTTATATCTCAAGTCAACTAATAGTGATAATAAATGCAATGATGCTTCCCATAAATTTGGGGACATGTAGAAGACAACTCCAGTCTGCGAAGGAGAAAGTAACCGCAGCAGCAACAATAACAAGAACCATTGCTCTACCACTCTAAGTCACTTACCCATGTGCTAGACACCTTTCTATGTGCTTGACGGAGACCATGTGATTCGCACAATATTAAGAAATAGATCAACGGTGATTCATGACGATTAACCCGATTAAGGATCTTCAGTCATAGAGAGGTGAGCAAAGCCAGCAGTGCTTTCGAAAAACACCTCCCAGGTGGAGCAAGAGGTTGGCAAACAATCCTAGAAGGCATGTTATTTGTGTAAAAATATGTTAAGCATCAGTCTGTAAAAGGAATGGGTTGGAAGGAGGGCAGGGAGTATCTTGAGGGAGGATGAAAGTCTTAGGGGCAGTCAGTGGGGTGCTACTGAGGCTCTTAAAAATGTAAGTGATAGAGCTGATTTTGTAAACTCTAGAAAAGACCTTTTGGCATCGTCGTGCAAGTTCAAGTGAGAAATGAAGGGTTGAGATTACCTGACATCCAGGAGATACTCTGTCTTTCCACAACCCCAAACAGCAGCTTTGAGCATGCTTCCCTGGATATGTCTGTCTGTCTCTTCACTGGACTGAGTTCCAGAAACATGGATTTTATTTACTGACCCCTGAAGTCTCCATGTACTCAATTCTTATAGGGCACATTAGAACTGCCCCATAGGATTCCCAAAGCTCCAAATATCCACAAAATATCTATCTACAAAAGCAGATTTCCACTCCTTTGGTATGACTGATGGGCCAGAGCCACTGAATTCTGAGTTAGCAACTGAGCACCTTAACCACTGGGCCACCAGGGGTTCTGCATCTAGCATTAAGAAAAAAAAATCATTGTCATTGATTCAATTCTGACTCACAGTGACCCTATTGGACAAAGTGGAACTGTTCCTTTGGGTTTCTGAGACTTTTCAATCCTTACCAAAGCCGACAGCCTCATCTTTTTCCTGCAGAGTAACTAGTGGACTTCAACCCCTGACCTTGTGGTTAGCAGCTCAGTGCAGAGTCCACTACATCCCCAAGGCTCCTCAATGTCTAGCATAGTAGACATTAGACAAATAATCATGAAGTAGAAAACCAGCATGCTGTGATTTCTTTAAACATAGACTGGGGGGAAGCCAGAAATCCCTCACTTTTCTTCTCATGAGTTGACCAAGTCATTTCTGAATACTACAAAGGAATCAAATGCTAAGTACCCATGAAAGCATGTCTATAGTAAATATACACTTAAAAATCACGAAGTGAAAGATTGCTGAATTTACCTTGGTATTCAACCCCCTGACCTCTAGCCAAAGCTGCATGCTTCCAGAAAAACACTGAAAACTCAGACCAGTGCAGCACTGGGAGGCTTGAGAGGTTTTCTGTCCTTAAGGATCAGGATTAGATTGAATACAATAAACCCAGTGGTGGGAAAACTCCCATGAGAGATTCAAAGGGTGGCTCACATTCCTGGAGTACTTGTGAGCATTCCAAAACTCAAAGTATAAGCATTAGACCCTTTCCTAAAAAAGAAACAAATCAAAACAAACAAAAAAACAGTTCCCCAATCCACCCAGGCAGACTGCGGACACACTCAATATCATTTACTCAGTTACCTTTGGCTTGGCAGAGGCCTTTCCAAACTGCAAGGAATTTTCAGATGATGCCTCTTATATCATCAGCCAAATGCACACATCACTTAGGGACGTACCCTTCAACCTCTGAGTAAGACCCTGAACCAGTTGACAACTGCCTGGTGGAAGGAATTTCAAATTCAAAATGACGAGGCTTCAAATCCCATGTTGGCTAATGCATTTTATTCAGAATTCAACAGATACTTCTTGAGAGTGAGTCTACCATATGCCAAGCACTGGCATACTGCAGGGATATAACAGTGAACACTACAATTACAGACCCTGCTCTCGTGGCTTACATTTTGTGATTTCTGGACAACCAATAATTCTAGAATCTGGAAATGCTCATGTCCTCACTTAACCTCACTTTCCATCTATAAATTGTTGAAAATGGCAGCCTCATAAAGTTTACATGAACATGGGGCATAATGTTCAGGAAGAAGCAAAAAAAATTGATGTCTGGGGCACAATAAACTTCTGTTAGGGATATTCAGCTGACTAAGAGGACGGAGCCCCACTACAGGTTCTCCCAAAGAGACTGTGGCTGTTACAGAATCTGTCAACTTGTGAAGGGGTGGAGTCTAGCCTGTCAATTAGGTCATCGCCAATGAGGCCTCTGTGTGGGCATGGCCTTCTACAGAGGATTCTGGGAACTCCAGTCTTCTTCCCTGAAGGCAAGACACATTCTCTCCCTGGGACACAGTCTTGTTGACAAGCCACATGGAGCTATGCTGATGAAGCCAGAGCCCTGGAGGAGCCACATGGAGCCCCTGCCAGTACTTCCACCACCATTGGATCCACAAGACATTCCACCCACTGGTCTGTGATCTTCTTGCACTTGCATCATTGTATATGTTGCATGAGTCTGAAGAGGAATTTATAGACTGGTATCGGACATATGAGCTAATATTGGACATATGGACTTGATCTGGATTGGGCTGCGATGATTTCTCAATATACAATTGCTCTTTCATATAAAGCTCTTTCTTATACACACGAGTGTCTTTGGATTTGTTTCTCTAGTCAACCCAAACTACCAGAGACACATAAGCTCATCCATGTTTCATCAAACTACAAGTCCTTCTTCATGTTTTCTGTTTAAAAACAAATGCCATTAAGTAGTATACAGATATAATAGAGATATTGGGGGTTCAGTTTCACACCACTGAAAATAGCACAAGTATCAAAATGAAGAGACAACTTTCCCCTGAAATTGGAGTCAATTAATATGGCCCTTTTAGCCATAATCCCTTAAGTGGTGTGTTATAATTCCAGACTGTGCCTTTGACTATAATCCATTTTAGAGGAAGGCCTCTACTTTGCTAATGGACTGGACTAAGGTGGGATGAAGCCGCCACCTTACTAGAGAGTGTGAATCAAGTCATCATCCTTTGTTTCCTTGGGGGTATGGTCTGCTGAAAGACAGAAAATAGCGGCATCTCAAACCATTTCTCGGTGTATAAAAGCCATCTCAAAACACAGAGAAATCTCAAAACCACTGGGAGAAGAGCCGCTAGCGGAGCGCATTTGAGACAGCTGTCTGAATTGGCAAGGCTGAGAACAGAGGCACCTGAGGTTATGGCAATGGAGACCGTGGGACGGAACAGAGGAAACGCTCCCAGGCTATGAGGCATGAGACTGTGAGATAGAGCAGCATCGGCTGGCTACCTGGCCCACAGAGGCAGAAGTCAAGGAACCATGTGGCTGAGAGATTTGAGGACCAGAGAGAGATCTGGCTGCTGGTTAGGAAGAGGTGCTCCTGTGAATCAGTGACTGCATTCTTACTGTTTACAGATCCTGACTTGTGGCAGCCTGTTAACTTCCCTAATAACCCCCCACAGTTGTGATTTTTGTCTACGAGTCTGTGTAACCGGTGTCATGGGAGGAACGGTGGATGTCAGAATAGAAAAAGAAGGATGGAGCGGGATGTTGATTTAGAGCTACCAAAAGCCTACCACATTGCTTATTTTATTTTTTCCTTCTTACTTCTCACCTTTCATGTGGAATCAGTTTCCCTCTGTCTAAAGCAGCAGTTCTCAACCTTCCTACTTCTGAGACCCTTTCATACAGTTCCTCGTGTTATGGTGACCCCCCAACCATAAAATCATTTTCATTGCAATTTCATCACTGTAATTTTGCTACTGTTATCAGATGACCCCTGTGAAAGGGTCATTCAATCCCCAAAGGGGTCACAACCCACAGGTTGAGAACCGCTGATCTAAAGGATATCCCCATCCCATCTTGATGGACTCTCTCAGTATGTATTAGTCTCAAACCAAACTCACTGTCAGAGTCAATTCCGACTCAGAGAGAACAGTCCAGGACAGGTAGAACAGCGCCTGTAGGTTTCAGACACTATAACTCTTTATAGGAGTAGAAAGCCTTGTCTTTTCCAACAAAACAGCTGGTGGTTTTGAACTGCTAACCCTCGTGGTTAGCAGGCCATTATGTCACAGCCGCTCCCTTTGTTAGCCTACACAGGTCTTTATTTTGTTCTCATTCCTGAAAGCTATTTCTGTTGGCAACACAGTTCCGGTTGGCAATAATTTTCTTTCTGCACAGTGAAGTAGCATGCTCTTATCTTTTCCTGTAACTATTGCGATTGAGAATTCAGCTGTCCGCCTGTCATCTTTTTCAAGGAACTTGGCTTATTTTCTTTAACGTTTTTACGATTTTTATCCCTACCTTTGTTTTTCAGTTTTATTCTACTGTTTGTACGTTTTATTCTGCTTAAGATTTAATGAGCTCCTTAAATCGGAAATTGGTGTCTGATCAGTTCTGAAAAACTTCTCATTTCTATTCACAATAAAGTTTTTATTTAACCTCATTTCTTCAACTAGTGATCCAATTTTAAAAATGAGAAAGGCAGGATATTATTATAACATTAACAGAGAACAGTAAAATATCAAAACTGTTAAAAGTGACCTAGTAAGTTTTCAAAAGAATCAAATGAAATACTATGTAATAGCTCTACTGTTTTTTTGTTTGTTTGTTTGGGGGGTATTGTTAAGTACAGGCATTCTCCTTTGGTTTAAAAAAGATAGACCGAGTTCTGTGTTGCTGTTAAAACTTGTCAGGATTCTTTGAGACTAGGCGTCTTCCGGGGGAAGTATTTATGTTCACTTTTCTCAGGAGCCTTGGGAAAGCTTCAAATCTGAGACCACCGTCACTGCTTTCAGGTAATACAGCCCCGGCTAGGGCTGCTGTGTCAGAAATACGTGAGTGGCTGGCTTTAAGAGACAAGCATCATTCCACCCGTCACAGTTGAAGAGGCAGGGAACCTTAACTCGGGGTGCCAGCTTCAGGGGAAGACTTTCTCTCTGTCAACTCTAGGGTAGGTCCCTTGCCTCCTTTCAGCATCTGGAGGTACAGTGTTTCATGGAGAGTTCCACATGTCTTGGTATTAACCCTGTCTGAGATCTAAGGGGTTTTCAGTGCAGGGACCCCAGGCGCAAAGACTGCTCCTCATGCTGCTCCTTTTTTTTTTTTAACTATAATTTTATTGGGGGCTCTTACAGCTCTTATAACATTCCATACACCAATTGTATTAAATATATATATGTATATAAATATACATATATATATATATGTCATCATTTCCAAGACACATTTTCTGCTTGAGACCTTGATATAAGCTCCTTTTTTCTTCTCCCTCCCCCACCTCCCACCCTCCTGTATCCTTGATCAATGACATATTGCTACTGCTATTTTGTATCTTACACTGTCCTTTGTCTCCCTTTACCCACATTGCCCTTATTCATCCCCTTCAATCTTGTGATGGGTTCCCCTTTTCTTCTCACCTTTCCCCCTCCTTGACCATCATCCCCTTATCCTCATGATATCACTACTCCCATTACTGTTCCTGTGGGGTTTATCTTTCCTGAATTCACTGTGTCAAGAGCTCTTATCTGTACCAATGTGTGTGCTCC